CAGTGAGTGACATTATTCCGACATTAATTTGCTGCTTATCATAACTTTACTACAATTTCAAAGCCTTCAGTTTTTCTTTTGCTTGACAACTTATTAGATTCAAGGCTTCAAGTGAAAGTCACATTCAAGAACACGTTCTAGCAGTAATTTAGCACATCTTGACAGTATTATATATACTTTCACCTCTTGTGACATTAATTTACAACATGTCTCAGCTGTATTACAGTTTTGAGGCTTGGTTCACCTTTACAAAGGGCATGTAATTTGCATTGAACATAACAAACTACATCTTAGCACTCGCATCTGTCAGTTTCTCAAGCAACTACACTCTACAATCCTCAGACTATATTCCAATCAGTGACAAAACAGGTAAACACTTGAACTGAGAGGGGGATGGAGAAAGGACAGATGGATTGTGTAACTGTCCACAAAAAAGGTCAAGTGTGGTCAACTACAGTTATAGAGATATAGGCCTTGGCAATGGCTTGTATCTCACTAATACCTGAATGCTGGCTGACTTTTATGTAGTTCCTGCAAATAAAGATTATAAAGAATGTGTTGTGAGTGAGAGAGAGAGAGAGAGAGAGACATAGAGACACACTGAGAGGGAGAGAGAGAGGGAGACTATAGCTGCCTGTCTTATTTAGTGCCATTAGTTCCTCCCTGCCACTCATTGATGAAGAGGCGCTGCCATCAGCCAAACCAGCCATCTCCTTCAGTCCTCATTAAAATGTCGTCATATTAAAAAATAATTTCAGGCCTCTGCTGATGACCGTTTTATTGCCTTCATGAAAATGTTTCACTCACTTTGGAGTCAACGGGAGAGAGAAAACCTTCAATGAATAATGAAAGCGAGAGACAAAGAGAGAGGACGGCGTAGATAAGGGTGATTTGTTGCATACTTGAGAGGATGGTTTCAATTTCTAGACCATTAATAATTTCTTCATTTTGCGGCCCAACAAACAAACATCCTTTCTTTACAGTATAGAATCTACACTGGCAAGAATAAAGTGAGCCAGATGTTAGGCTGGCCATTAAAACAACAATAAAAACAAACAAAAAAGCCAGTGAAACATAAAGATTAAGGATAAAAAGCAGAAAAAATAAAAGAGAAAGGCACAAGGGCATTCTTACCCTTTGAATTGATTTTTGAATTAGTTCCGCGAGATTTGCTTTTTACTGTTCTTTGTAAACTGTGTTACATCAACACCATATCCAATTATCCAATCAGCAAGAATAACTCAATCCAATTAGCTGACAATGCTACTGCTAACACCTGCGTTCTCACTAAAGGGCATCTTACAAAGTAGTGCAACACATTAACAACACCTCTCACCTTTGCAGGTCAGTTGTTGCACTTGAACAGGGAATCTGGAGTTAATCTTCTACTCGCTTACAAAAATGCTTCCACAAGCACTTTTTATCGTAGAGACACATGAAATGGAAAAAGCAATTTTCTAATACCCTGCAGTGGAAAAACACTGCAGCAGCAGGAACATAGAGGCTATCAGCGGGAGTATAAAGGTTACTGGAGAGGTGCTTTCTCGCATTCACACTTTAACAATAACCTAATGAAAATCCTGGTGTCCTAATGACACCAAAACCTGTACTTGCTATGTGTTGTGCATACAACGCTCAATAAAGAGTGAATTTGCTGTTCCAGAAACAGGATGCTAATGAAAGTCCTTGAAACATCAAAGGTCCAATAAAAGATGAGGTTTAAATGGACACAATCCTACACCTATTCATCCCCATGGACGTATTATCTGAAGTAGCACTTCAGCTCTTATTTGTTTGGACTTATTATTATTCTGATTCGCAGCTTTTCAACATTTCCATTTTGCTGATTTGCCGCTCAGATAATGAGAAGCCACACAACAGCGGCCTGCATGCGTACACATCCTGTAAAGGCTGAAGAGAAACTGGTGGCTTGGCGTACAGATGCTCCTGCACATCACTCCACGATGTAGATTTAATGCCACCATATGCCGATGTTTTCAGCCACCAATGCAGATTAAATGAGCTGCTTGTATCAGGTGAAGAAGTAAAAAGTTTTACACCATTTGTTATGTTGCGCCGGGCTATCTCTCCTCTTGATAATCGCATTTCTATTCAAAGTGAGCACAAATAATAACATTAGCAGAGTGTAGATACTGTACTCTTTCCCTGAGCTGTGTGTTTTGTTTATGAGATATTTTAATTGTAAATAGAAACACGAGTGCACTAGAATCAATCTATTAATGTGGGAAACCATGAATTATGAGAGGAAATTAAACTACTTTCACGCATACACAGAAACACGGAGAAGCTAAGCACACAAACGGGGTTTGTGGGAGTACGTTAATGTCCCGGCAGAATACACACATAACTACTTGATTGGCCCCAAGGGATGTAATATCTACACTTTAATTTCAGATAGCAAGTAAGCATATCCTGTTACAAGCCATTACAAGAGTTTAACACCAGGCGCTGTGTTTGTTATGCTCTCATTTTACATCTTCACTTCTTAGGCTTCAGCTCTGTTTGAGATGAGATGAAAAGATTTCTGCTATTTGGGTTACAGCGATAGAGTTTCTTGTCTTACAAAATTTGCTCACATAATTAAAAATATTCAGCTGAAAAACACTTCACTGCTTCTTTCTCCTTTTGTTAAGGCTGACTCAGAAGAAGGAATAAAGAGTATAGACAATATAGACATAAAGTAGACCTCTGGGTCTGGTGTGTTATACACTTTATTTTGGATGTGATGTATTTTAGGATGTACACACCACTGTGGCTGCTGAACAGAAAGATTAGTTTCTTGCCCTGGCTCTGGGCTCACGTACATACACTCGCCAGACAGAGAGTTGCTCGTGGCTCTGTTTTTTTTTTTTGGTTGTAATACAGACAGAAGATGCCAAAGCAATGTTGGGTAATTACTCATCCCACAACCTACTGAGAACTGGGCAGAAATAGAAAGCGAGCAGAAATGTGCCAGGAAACACAAGCCACAAGTACGCAGGCCCTAAAAGCACCAAAACATATATAAAGAGGAAGTCAGGTGGTGTTATAGAGCAACACAGTTTGTGTTGAGAGGAGGTTGAGGACGATGGATGGTTCGAAAACCAAACGACAGCCAACATTTGTCTTATTTAAGAATGACCACGATCGTGTTCCTTTAGTTTAAGCAAGTGTTTATTATTGTAACCTTGAAGATAAAGCTCCCATATTCTCAACAAAGTACAGTTTCTTGAGTTAAATGTTACTCAAGCCACTGGAAGTAAAAACGGCCTGTAGCTTGCTAAAAACATGTCTTTGGGTGTAATATCAGCTGATAAATACTGCGCTCCGGGGGAATGATGTTCATTTGTGACATCCTCATTTCATATTCTTGCCAGTTGGGCATGCCTCAGTTTTGAGGTGTAATATAGGCCTGCCAAATCAGCGGTAGCCCCATTACTCATCCCCCTCTGTGCTGTCTCCTGGCTTGTGCTCGCCGCTAATGCAGATTACAGGGATATATGAGGGCTATTTTGTTCGCTGCAGGGTGGAAACGATCACAGGCAACCCCATCCCTCTCTGATGCACCATTCTACATCTGTTCCCCCCACGAAAGCCTATCTGGAGATCCATCAGAGCCAAGCCCTTATCAGATCTGAGGCTGCTACATCTATTGCACATCAATTATAGATGCTATGGGTAAAAAATTGGGTCACTATATCAGCATTGCTTTCGATCCGCAGAGACATTGTTTGGTGAAGTGATTAGTGGCTTGACTTTAGATACGGTTCGTGCGTGTTATACGTGTTAAATAGTCCACTCATGATACATGGGTATAAAGACACAAGGGCCCCCAGTGAAGGAGAATAATGTGTGACCAATCATGGCTTTGCCGTAATGATAATGTGTCTTAAACTTGTCAGTTTTCATTTCTTTTTTATGAACTTTGAGAAGCGTTGGTGGCTTTTGTTTGTGGGATTTGTGTAGGTATGAAGAGTATTGTCGGGATCAATAAACCCATTTTTTTTTTCCTGTTGAAAGACAATCCGAGGTGATAAACGAGCCGAGCTGCGTTATTCGAGGTCGAAAATCACACGCAAATTAAAATTTATTTCCAACTTGCTCCCTGACAGAGAACACAGACATATTATTCAAATTTCTATCTATTCTGGGACCAGGACATGTCCAACACCACACGTTTAATCTTTATGCAAGTCTCTCCTCATCTGTTGCGTAAATAGACCATTCATCATATTATTGGGCTTTTACAGCTTGACTGTTTGAGTGATCTGTCTCTCAAACAGCCTCTCTCCCTGGCAGCCCAATCAATCATTTTTCAATGAAGATGTCACAGCTCATTGTGTGGAGTGTTATCCCAAACAATTTCCAGAGCCTTTTAGATGATAAATTAAAAGCTAAACTTTTTTTTTTTGTTCATGAGGATGGTTGGCTCCTTTCTGAGAAATGTGTAGGTGCAATATTTTAGAAGCAGAATAATGGAGTATTTCACCAAGCTTGATAGTTTTAATCCTGAATTCACCCACTGTCAACAATTTTCACCTCAGCGGAGACGTTAGCAGGTGCAGGATTGTGCTCACTATTAACTTTTCATTAGGCGGGGTAAACCGCACCTGTCATCAAGAAGTAGCTGCTGCTCAACAAGGGACATAATTGGTTTATGGTTAATGGCTGTTTGAAGCTGTTAGTCCTGGGTGTGTCTCTTAAATCGCTGTATGAGCTCTATGAGACTTCATATTTCTCAGGAAGAAGGAAAAAGTTTTTAAGGGTTGACGGCTGAATCAGAAATGTCTTCCAGGGTGTGCTTGGAAGTATGATTGGTAGTGTAGATACTTAACAAAGAAAAGTTAACGACCCTCACTTCAACTGTGAAGCCGTAAGATTGACTCATTGGATACCCAAACAGCTGCAGTGGTGCAATATGTTTTTCACTCTCATTCAGGTTGAATTCTTCTTCCTCTGTGAACTCACCTCACGTCTCCTCTCTTCTGTTTCTGTCGCAGGATCCTTCAGGAGTTGATGCGGAGACCTGCGACACCGGGAGCCTGAACACTGCCGTCCATGTTCACCTGACACCGAGGATGTGTTTCCGATAACACAGTGTGCAGATAAAACACCCACCAACGTGAACCCTCACTCATCATGCTTCCTTCCATTTAACCGAACCAACTAAAATCTTTTCCATGGCTTTTCTCTTTGATAAGCCTCTGCTTACTGCTTAGTCAAAGTATCACCAGAGCATATACGTTTTGTATATAAAATCTTAATTTCAAAGTATTTTGCGCAGGTTATACAATTACTCGCAAATAAAGGTACAATATAGTCCTCTGAAATGTACTGTAATTGAAACGTAGCAAATATGGAAGTAAAGTACATGAGGTGGAAGAAGTATTCAGATATTTTGCTTAAAAGTAGCAATACTGCAATATAAAAGTCATGCAGTATAAATCCTACTTAAGTATAAAAATGTAATTATCAGCAGTAAAAGTGATTCACTATAATAATGCATCATTATTTACAACAGTATTCAGGTCCTTTATTTAAGTAAAAGTACGAATGCCAGGAAGCTGTACTTAAAGTAGCAAAAGTAAAAGTACTAGCATTTCAATGTTGCACCTGGTTGAAGTGTAATCAATTTTATGATTAGTTCATAAGAGAGCATCGTATTTTATGAGATGTAACATCTTTATTTGCACATTAGATAGTAATTACAGCTGCCAAATAAATGTGTTCATTTTATATTTTCAGATTATGCTTTCTGTCAAATACATAACAAAATGGCACTCCCTACAATCATTAAACCAAGTGTATTGAAATCCAACCTTTTTTGCAGACTAATTAGTAAGGCTTTAATGTAATCTGCTACCTCAGTGCTCACTCCTCGTGCCATGAGGCCTCAATGAGGAGTTGCGAGGATCTGCAGGTCCTTTCTTCGGTGTGTCAGCTCCCCACCACCACACTTCTCCACTTCCCCACCCTCGGTGCACCACAGTTGCATTATTAAACTTGTAAAAGATCATTAGCATACAAAGCAGGAAACCTACCGCTGTGGAGTCATACATATTTATCTGGACGTGCCTGACTTGTGCGTGCATACGCTCGTACTGTAACCCCTTTACACACAGGCGTGACTGTCTTTCGTGCTGCAGGAGAGCTGAGAACAGACACTATGAAGAGGATGTTACTAGAAGCACGCACAGTTTTAAGGGATAGATATTTATTCATGCAACATCTGAAGAAAGACGAGCTGGCATTTGCCATGAACTTCACATTAAAACATGTGCAGCTGCCTGTAAGACCGAGAAAATGTGTGTATTTGGAAACAGAGCAGATGGAGCTTGGTTAGGTTCATCAAAGCAGTTTGCTTCAAGCATATCAAATATAGTTTACACACAGAGGAATTTCGGTCTAGTAATGCCTGCAATACATATTCATGTCCTGCACTCAGAAGCACATAATCAAACAGAGAGAAAGACAAACAGAGGACATGGTCTTATAAATACTTGTATCACCTGCGGGCTACCTCTGATTTTTGAATGACTATGAAATCAGCTCCTTTTCTGTCTCCTTCCCTTGTTCCCTTCCTCTACAAATCCTCTTTTTTTTTTCAACCATTACCAACTATTCTTGATGAGAGGACAACCCCTCCTTTTTTCCTGCGACTTGGAGTCCACCGTTACTATTCCCTCCTTCCTCCCTCCTTCTCTTTCCTCCCTCCTGTGAGATTGCTGTTGTGTCTTATGGCTTTTTATTCCTACGTGATGGTAGATGGGTTCATGTAGGAGTAGAAGCCACTAAACACGCGGTGAGTGCTCAACACGCTGGCCAACACACACAGCGAGCTTCCTGTGGATATGACAGCTGCCATGTTCACATTAATGGTCCCGCCCATTATCAAGAATATGCACACAGTAAAAATAGTATGGGGTAGTCACTGCAGGGAGTGGCTACTGTTTCAGGTTATCATTTCATACCAGATTTGTAATGTGAAAAATGTTAAATTACTTCTTCAAATGGTTATATTGCCTAATTGAACAGTCGGTTTTAGGACAATAGAGCACAATGGTGCTGTTCGTGTGGGCTGACAAATCAATTTCAAGTTGTGAATAGACCTACTTTTTCACAAAGGTTTCCCACCTGCATGCTGGCTCAACGTGCCCTGAATTTAAAACTCATTCCTGCATTCCTCTACCCCGAGGTCGCTGTGCAAAACTGGAGCTGGATAGTTCTCAAAATAGAGATCAGGAGGAGTGGATGCCACAATTAAAATGAAACAACTTGCAGAGGTAGGTCATCTATGTTGTTTGATAATGTGCAGAATGTGAAGGGACCTTCTATCTTCTATGAGAACTTACAGAAACCTGTTACGGGATACTCTGTGACACGTTAATGACCTACAAAAGTGTGAAAATAATACCTCTCTTGTGAATTTATTACCCTTAATACACATTTCACTAATAAAAAATCCTATTTTGGACATATTTAGAAATATTGCATATCACAAATCACAAAATCAACTTCATGTGCCATTGCTGTCCTGTAAAAACTGGGCATCTCCAAAACGACAACATTTCATGAGCTAAGCTTTGTGATTTCTTTATTCCAGAAACTCCAGTGGTTTTTATATAGTTTACTTTGTTTAAACCTGTATTAACTGAGTTTTTGGTTACTTGAGAGCATCAGAAAAAAGCTGTAAAGTTGTGTTTGTGTCCACCTTAGAAGTGCAAGTTCAATATTTGATCAACTATTAGCTCTGTTTTGGTCTCCACCAACTCCATAGACTAATACATGGCTGCTAAATGCTGCACCATGTTCATCAGCTAGTTATTGTCTATGTCTATGTTTGGTAAGCAGTTAGTGTAAAGTCCGTTTTTGATTGTGGTTTTTACTGGATAGCAACTGTATGTTTTGTTTTTTTTGTTAGTTTGTTTTGTTATTTTTGTCAATTCATACTTCCACTTGGTTTTTGGTCATCCATTTCACATGTACTCTTTGTAAGGACTCTTCTTCATCAGAACAACACTGTTCCTGTAAAGCTTTTAGCACCAGCCTGAAAAATGTAACTCAGCTCAGTGCAAACCCCTTAAATTCGTGTCCAATCATAAATTAGGTCCAGGACAACTCAAAATAGCCTATAATGGTATTCATCTGTAGTAACTTTCTGCCTGAAATGAACTTGGTACCAACCAATTAAGCAAGATATTCAAATGGTCCTGCTTGTGTAAGGGTCCCGTTGGGTGCTGAGGGGTTTGGGTTTAAATGTCAACCCTCTGTTTGTAATTGCTGTAAAATAAGCTCCTCGTTTTCTCCTCCTGAGCAGAATCTGAATAATGCCTAAATGGGTTGTTGTCGTAAACCAGAAACTGAATTATTAATCCCTGGATATTACAAGAATTTGACAAATGCTTGCAATTGTGTGACATTACTTCTGTGTCGATATGAGGGGGGGATAATTATTCAAGATGAAATTGCAATTGATATGGTCTACTAAGGTTTAATGATTTATTCAAGGCTGTAAGTTGTTATGATCTAAAATTCAGCGGGGTGGAATGGGAAGTTTCTTTGGCTTGCATTTTTCGGTTTAATTTATTTTTCAGGGTTCTCACTCCGACAGAGAGTTCTTTGTAGAGACATGAGGAGGTCTGAGAGAATAGTAGAGCAGGAAAGACACATGAGAGGAAGCTGAGAGGATTCGATTCTGGACCAGTGGGGGTCCGTGGGAATCGAAAGGTGGGAATCAACCATCACCGTATCAGTGAGAAAGAGCCTGCATTATTTAAAACAGCTTGGCATATGAAGGGGAAGTTCTGTTTGAATAGATTGTTGCCATCCTCTGTTTCGCCCAAGGTTGTGTACGCCTTTTGACTCTGCTGTAAACCTCATATTCTCAAAATGTCAAAATGTTCAGCGAAGTAAGACTCATTTTCACTTCAAAAGCCATAAAAAAAATTTAAATTATGCAATTGGGTCCTCGGGTTATGAAACTTGATTGAGCTGTACAAGGTCACATAATCATCAAGTTCAGGTAAAAACATGAAAATTGTCAGAAATGGAGTAATGGGATTTTTCATCTGACAGCTGCGATAATGTAGCGTGTTTGTGTACAGTGAGTGCTGAGCTACTGTATCCACCTCCCTCAGGCTACACTTTCTTTCTGTAATAAATAATGCTCTTTTGTGTTCTCTGCTTCATTTGTTCCCTGTTGTAACGTCAGTGCTGCTCAATAAATTATGAATCACGTATGTTCAACCTGCCGCATATCTCTTGTTTCATTTGTCTGTCAAACTCTGTTTGTGTGTGTGTGTGTGTGTGTGTGTGTGTGTGTGTTTCTAATGCCACACGCAGGCACACCCCAAATGTACACACCAATAAACATGAGATTTCTCTGGATATAATAAAATACAGATCGGTTTATGAGTACATGTAGCTAAGTAAGGAGTACAAACAGTTAGAGAGCAGCAGGAATACAGTAGTAAAACATGTTCAAAATATTAGTAGCCTGAGGTATAAGCGCAATTCAAACTGCCTTTCATTGACATAATTGCTCATGTTCAGTGTATATTAAATCTGCTGTAAGCCATGAAATTGCCATACATAACAACACAATTGTACACTGAAAAATAAAGATGATTTCTGGCTGCACCGTGTTATACCACAAGGTTGTCTAACAGCGGGCGGACTGAAGGATTGTTTCGGTGATGAGTTGCAGGGGCACAGCGTGATTCTTTCACTTTCTTTTCTCAGAGATTTTGGGCAGCAAAGCTCGCCTACACACACCAGCTGGCTGTTGTCTGGGGGAATCGCCTCAGCCATCTTTTTTCTGATGAAATCAGAGGAAATCCACAAGCAGCCCAAGGCAGGCCACATATCCGTTTTTTTTATTATTATTCCTTCTCTATTCAATAATTCTCAGTGATGGGCCTTTCCTTTGAGCACTGGCACTACTCCTCATTCCAATTAGTGAAAGGCAAAGAGGCCCCCTTGTTTGTCGGCACGCAAGCAGTAATTGGATAATCCCTGGAATTTGAGCGAGTGCACAAAAGGGAATGTGCAATTAAACCAGAAAGTCTGTCAAATATTGACACAGATGAGTCCTGCAGAGTACAGATACAGAGGATAAGTCAACATTATTGTGGAGGTTTTCTAAAATTTCTCAAAGTTGTATGCCCAAGGGCAGATTATGACGTTTTTGTCATAAAGTTTAGTTTCCGTAATAAAATAGATGAAAAATCGAATCCATTCTAATATTAATATGAACATTCTTTTGAAAAATCTGTTCGTTTCATTAGCTTCAAAAAACCACCACATGAACTTGTCTCCATCTTCATTTACATTACACAACTTTATTTAGGAAAATACACCATGTGAGAACATGAACTAATTTAGAATCTGACCTTTGAATCTTAGAATCTTTGTGTCAAAATCGGTTGTACCACCATTGTTTTAGTTCATAATGCTCTCACATGGTGTATTTTCCTAAATAAAGTTGTGTTTCATCAAATTTCCACATACAGAAGCCAGACACTTTCGTATTTGAATACTGCTGGGTTTTGGTAATAAACACAAAGTACAGCTAAGACGAATGGGAATATCATTAGTTTTGCAGTTATTTGGTCACAAACCAAAGTATTGGACCAGTATTTGGACCAGTATTTGGACCATTTGGTCTGTACCAAATTTCAGCAATCCATCCTTTACTTGTTGGGAGATTTCACTCAAGACTCCAAATGTTAATTATCGCCTTGGGATTATCGATATGTGCCAAATTTTAAGAAAATTCACGGAATGGTTGTCAATTGATGCCACAAAAAAAGAGGTTACCCTGCTGGTGGCGCTAGAGAAAGTAAAGCAGATTACCAAAGTCAACAAGACTCCTTCTCTGGGACCATGAATTTCTGTTCAATTGCAATTCGTCCTATAGTTGTTGAGATATTTTAGTTTGGACCAAAGTGATGGATCGACTATCAGACCGCCATTGCCATTTTTGCAACCTCTGAATGATGAAAGTTCAGATGCCACAACAGAAGCCTACCTTGGCATTTTGGAAACAATCTCTGCTCACAGTGTGACCTGAGGACGTCCCATTGTGACAACAGTGTGCTGAGTTACACAGATTTTTCTCAACATCTTCCTGAAAGCCATCACAACGAGACGTCTCCTCTCTTAGAGTCCACTTAATGAGAGTGTAGCGTCAGCGTTCTGGCTGCAATTACAGTGCTTAGGACTCTTTAATGATATGTTAATGGCTTGGCTGTATTACCTCTCAGCTGCCCAAACAACATTAAATACCCTGCGGCTGATTAATCCGGCATCCACAAAAACACCCAATTAGAGGGAAAGTGTTCAAATCGAGTTCTACTAACAACTTTAAGGCAGAATAGACAAGCACTAAAAGAAACGCTTAAAGATATTTCCCTCAAAGTAAAGTAAATGGAGGTGATAGCCGAAGCTTGGGGATATTCCCATTTTACAGTGAAAACACATGATTCTTTATTATATCTTACATATTAGGATGGTGCTGTAATACAGCGTTGGTTAAGGTGCTCAAAACACATAGCTGTTGCTGAAAGATGATTCCTGATATAGGAAAACTTAAAAGAGAGTATTCTCAAAGCAATGACGTCCTCCACAGTTCCTAAAAAACGAATGATCTGAATTTCAAATCTTAGAAAACAAAACCGTTCTCACACCTCACCATCACCGTTGTGTCAAATACGATTACTCGGAGACACATTTCTAACAACTCCCAGCACAACTTCACTTTCGTCAGCACATGATTGCTGTCGACACAGAACTTGCAGGGCAATAGTGATTATTAATGTGCAACATCTGAAGTTAAGCTCATGAGGGGGGATTCATTTTTCAGGAGTTCCTTTTGTAATGAAGACTGAGCGGTGACAAAGCACCGTCGAGTCTGTAGAGGAAACACATCTAGGAAACAGACAGGGAAGTACAAGCAGAAGAGGAGAAACAAGCCAGGTGCTGATAAAGACATTTTGTTCTTGTACTGTGCTTAATCAAAGTTCTGTGACGGTAACACTATACTACTTGAGTATCTTCTACTCCAGTATATACAGATGGTTTTAAATCATAGGTAAAACAACATACAGTGTCTCCACAACATCTTCGTGGTATAGCTTCTACAAGTCTCAAACTTTAGTGAAGGAACTAAACATAGTTCGTGGTGTTCCTACGGTTGAGATGTGGTGACTACAAAGGCCGTGATTCACACAGGGATGGATTTCAGTGTGGGCGAACTCCATCTGCTGATGTAGATCATGTGACATGATCGAAAGCTCCAGAGCGACTAAGTGGACATTTTGTCAACTATTCTCATATTTTAGGCAATTTGACCATACCATCCAATCATGGAAGAAGTGTAAATTACCTGCACATTTGTTGGTGAATGTGCACCTCTAATGTAGGTCCCTGGCCCTCAGAAAATAATAAAGATGCCATCTAGTGTGCTGTGTTTACTGTTCGTGATGGGAACTTGGAGACAGCAGGTGCCCAACAGCAAATATTTGCCCTGAGGCCCCTAAAGAGGTTGCACCGGAGCTGCTGTCATCAAAATGTTGATGTTCAAATTTCCATTTTTCCCCTAAAAATGATAAAATACATTAAAAACATCTTCACATCCTGAAAGAGCGGGCACTTTTTACTTTCATACCCAAGTACATTTTACTCCCAATACTAATTATTGTACTCAATCTAAATAATCTGTGTTCGAAGTTTATATTTATTATATTATTGTCAATGAAAGACTTAAGTAAAGGTAGTAGCATATCATATCAGAAGTACCAGTGGTAATAGTACTACCACTGATAAAAGTGACAATTTAAATGCAATCATGTCTTTGACTATTAATATTACAACCCGTATGGCACTCGTAATAGTGCTACCAATCATCACTTTCTCCACCATGAAAGCCTTTTTCAGATTGTCAGGCAGGTCTATGCTTTTAGCTCCATCTCGTCTGTCTCTTATCACCTCTCATCAGCAGGAAAGACGTTGGAAGGGGGGGGGGGGGGGCTGCTCATCCGAGGCAAAGAGGAGAGCCAAAAGAAGGCAGCATCCTTATCAAAGGCCTGGGTGCTGAGCCTTGGTTAAAAATAGAAACTGAGGGAGATTGGCATCGATTTCTGCAGGCGTTGACGGCCCGATTGACAGCAGCACGGCAGCGTCGGGCTGTTGAGCCATCGAGGGAATCCGCCAGACTGCCTATGATGAGATGAGATGGGAAGATAACTTCTGACAAGCCCTCCACCCGCTACCCATCTCTAATCACCCAGTCTGCACTCACACACACACACACACACACACACACAAACATGCACACTCACAAAGAAAAAGTAATTACCACATGATTGCACGCGCGCACACTCACACACACTCATTGACACCCACACTTGCTGCCCCCTGAGCAAGTAATGGGACTTTGGCTGGCTGAGCATCCACCTGTCCGTTGTCTCTTGCCAAGTCAAAGCTCATGTGCTCACACACATACAAAATACCTCTGGATGTCCCTCCACAGCAACGAGCCGCTGTCCTTAAGGGTTATCTCACTAAATGATCTACCATCAGTAAATAGTGCCTAATATCCATGAGACACTCCGCACGGGGATGTCACTGACCTTTGTTTTACTGCTGTAAATGAACTCCACTAAGTGATTACTTTTATTACACTGTCTGCTTTACTACACTTGGATGTTGTTCTCCCCGAGGTATGAGCAGTAATTCAGCCAAGCATGTGTGCCTGGCATGCTAATATCAATATTTCTGGGTTGTCGCTATGAAAACATCACATCTTTACATCATCAGAGGTTATCATCTTTCTGGCATCTTTGAAGGAATAGTTTGACAATTTGGGAAATGCGTTTATTCGCTTTCTTGCTGAGAGTGACAACATCAACTCGCCATTTTACATCCTCACCTGGCTGTTTAACCACTGTTCCGCTCTTTTGCTAAGCTAATTGCCTCCTGGCCAGTTCCAGCTTCCACGGAACAGACAATTTTGAGAGTAGACTCAATCTTCTCATCTAAGTCAAGGAAAGAAAGTGAATAAGCACAAAATGTCAAACTTTTCTATAAAAAAATAAGTGTATTCTGAAATTTAGAAGAACTTATTGTCAGAGCCAGGTTTAAGAAATATTTAGTCCCCCCAAGTTGTATCTTATGAGGAGTTATTTCAAGCAAGTTAATTTGGAAACCACAAACTGCTCAACTAAGTCAACTAACTAAACTATTAGTTTTCTCTTTAATTTATACATAGTCCCAATTAAAACATGGGCTTATGAAATAACGTGTTTTATTTGAAAAGACGTTTTTACAAAGTTTTGAAAATATATTGTATTTATGAAAATGTTGGATTAATGGATTGGACATTTGTCACACTCTTTCTCATCCTCGATTTTAAAATTATCCAATGAAGCCAAGATAATCATCA